GAGGAAAGAGTAAAGGAAAAATTGTAAACATTTTTAAGTCTCCAGGTAGTAATAAGCAAGAAAACTGAAGTTAATTGAAAAAGTTATTTATAAAAATTTTTCTTCAACCTCTTTATTGTCATTAGAAATACACATTTTAGTGATGATGATTACTACTGGATGTTCACCCAAGACATGAAATTAACTTTGATAAAACCTAAATATGAACAAGGTAAAAAAAAACTATGGATAGGCTAATAAGTGTATTACCACAGTTATCAAAAATGTTTGAAAATGTGTTTTTACTTCAAATTGAGAAAAACCTTGATGATAATGAAATTATTCCGATCAAAATCGGCTTTAAAAAGGGATGCGAATCAGTACATACAAGATTCTACATTCTCAATAAGTTGAGAATGTACAAAAAACTCAAATAGAAAGGTGCGGGGAAAAAAACTTTAAAACGGATATATCTATATTTTATAAAAACTCAAATAGAAAGGTTGAAAAAAACTTTAAAACGGATTTTATAAAAACAATCAGCTGTTACTGGAAGTAACAGTTCCTGCCAATTTACCTCAATCCATTGCTGATGGTGTTGCACATTGGTCTGTGGCCAATGGAATGAAAATTAACAGCTTAAAATATAAACTCATTAGAAACAATGTCCAGTGCTCCAACACTCATGCTTTACCATCTCCCATACTCAATAAAACTGATTTTAAATTGTATACAGCTATAAATACCTTGGAATCCTGTTCAATGAGAATCTTGATTGGGATGAACAATGATTAAAAGTGCACAATACTATAAAATCATTTTTACATGCCATTTCTACTGTTCAGTAGAAACAGTTGTAACAACTGTCAGTTGTTTTTTAATTTCTAAAAAAAAAAAGATGTAAAGTTGAATGTAAGTCAAGGAACATGTATGGTCCATAGCTTATTTAATATCTATCGAGTGCAACAGAACTAAATGTTTTTCTTTTTACAGACGATAGGTCAATCATTTCGAGAATCAGCAATGTTAATTAAATGTTATCATCATGTTTTCATCATTTTCAGTGAGTTATTTCTCTAAAAAATAAAATGATACTCATAAAAAGGTTGTTATGTTGATATATACGATAATATTTTTGTAGATAAATGTTCTGTTCTGTTTACATTGTTCATGTTTATCCATTATTCTTTTAATTATTTTTAAGAAATCAGGTAGAACTGACTAGTAACTAACTGATATAGAACCAGGGCCATCTTATCCATTAGGCACTATAGGCACTGTGCCTATAGCCTACAAATCTGCAGGGGCCTACAAAAGTAATGAAAAAAAAAAGAAATTTTAAAGTGTGTCAATACCCAGCTCCTGTAAGGCGCTGGGTATTGACACACTTTATTGACAATATTAATCTTTTGAAGTAAATCTTTCCAAATCACACACATTTATGCAGTTTTAAAGTAGTCTAAATGTTTAACCAGTGATTTCGCTTCATGAACAGCTGCTGGTGGTTGATGTTTGCTGTTAGTGACTTCACATAATGCTTGACGAATTTGTAAGTAATTTGCATAGAAAGCTCTTGTGGCATCACTTCTAGAGGACCACCTAGTTTCTGATAAGCTTTGTAAAACAAATACGTTTTCTTTAAGAAGTACTTTAAGAGTTGACCATCTCTTCGTTGAAGCTGAGAAAAAATTATAAACTGACTGTATGTCAACAAAATAATTTACAGCTGCTGAACAACACTCCACGGCAGCTGAACCAACTAAATTTAGGCTGTGGGCAGCACATGGAACCCATTTGGCTAAATGATTAATCTCTGTGAATGTAGCTTGCACACCAGAATATATTCCACTCATATTGCTGGCATTATCATAAGATTGTGATCGGCAATTTTTGATGTCTATTCCATAAAACTGAAGATTACCAACCACAAGATTAAATATGTATTCTCCATCATGGTGTTCAATTGGAATAAATTGAAGTAATCGCTCTACTACATTTCCGTTTTTGAGTACATAGCGAATAACAAGTGTAAGCTAATCTGCATGACTAATATCAGGGGTTGAATCGATGCTAATTCCATAACATTTAGCATCTTTGATTTCAGAAATTGTTTGCTTCAAAACTTTGCCTCCTAATATATTAATGAATTCATCGCATATGTTTGCTGAAAGATATGATACATTTCCCTTTCCTGGATTTTCATATCTTTGAATGTGTTCTCTTAGAAATGGATCAAATTCAGCTAACAGATCAATAGAACCAAGATAATTTCCATTGTTAGGAGAGTTATGCAATTGATTGTCACCACGAAAAGCTAATCCCCTTTTAGCAAGAAACTTTATCACTACAACAACCCTCTTCAAGATTTCAGTCCAGTATTTGCAAGACTTCTCATTTTCCTTCTGAAGTTCAACATCAATTCGAGTAGACTTTTTGTATTGCATTATCATCGACACAGCAGCAAAATGATCTTTTGATTTTTCATGTGAGGTTATCCTAGCAATAACATTTTTCTAATCATCGAAACCAGTTATAAATTGATTTCTTGGTGTATTATTAGTACCAGCACTGCCGGTTTTGCAACCAAATATCTTGCAAATATAACAAAACACTTTACCAGTTGAGAGCGAATATATGAGCTAATCCCTGCTGACGATTTCTCCATTTACCAGTTTTCTTATAAAATATTCCTTGCGTACATATCTAATCTTTTCACCAAATTGTCTACCTTTTAAGCTTAAATCAGATTTCAAATTCTGTGATGGGATATTCTCTGCATAATAAACTATGAGATCAGCGTTTATTTCCCATTCAGTAGGATCATTTGAAATAGATTCCTTATCATTCCTTATTCCCAATCCTAAATCTGCTACTGTTGGTTCCGCATCTGCTTGAGTAACTGGTTCACTTGTAAAACTCATTGCACAACCGCATTGTTCCACAGTGTCAATCAGCATTGGTTCTGGCTCTGGTATTACTATTCCTGGACTTGTTGAAGAAACGACAGAGTTTATTGAAGTGTTATTGCCAGAAGTAGCATCTACTTTATTAACATATTTTAGCAAAGATTCTTTCATTTTTTTAAATGCACCTTCTTTCCTTTGCTTTTTATGCCGTTTAATATAGCCAGACTCGTGCTTTCTCTTGTACCCATTGCCATCGGACATGAATTGAATTTCTGAAAATCATTATAAATATTCAATATAGAATAGACATAAAACATAAAAATAAAACATGTTAACCCATTTAATTAGTGGGAAAACATTTAAATATATTCCATAAAACATTACATTTAACAAAACTTATTAATAATTTACAAAAACGTAATCATAACAAATAAAATATCTACCAAATAAAACCGTACTTTTTAAAATAATACGTGGAATTCTGAGAATTTCATTTTTAAATAAATGTAAACTATTGATAAATTTAAACAAACGTTTAAAACAAACAACAAACCATAAATTGCTGAATTTTTAATGGCTTTTCATGATCATAACAAAAGTAATGATAGTAAGAGAAATACAATTAATGAAATAGTTGCAATTTAATTTCTTTAAGGCATAACATGTGTACAGATACAGAATAATCAAACAAACAGCGACTGTAGGCCCATTAACGACTACATAAAAAAATTAAAAAACAATGTAAATTGAATAACGTGTACATGACATTTAAATTGAAAGAAAGGTCTACAGCTACATTTTTATGCAAAGTGCCTAGAGCCTACGACGCTCCAAAAACGATCCTGTATAGAACATTAATTTTTTATGCTAACATGGTTGGCTGTTTTTAAAATTGTTTTTTGCTTTTTGCAGGCTTCGCTTTTTTTCAGAATTAGGAAAGATTCTGCGGCAAAAGATTCTTTAAATAATGAAAGTAAAGCAAAGAATCCTCAATTTATTTATTTTCAATTGCATTAAGCATTGAGGCTGTGTTTGTCTGTTAGTTAACAGTAATTTCATTCATAATCTACCATAAGCATTCTATTCATAAACAAGTTTTTATAGAAGTTTTTTTTATGCTTATCTGATTAGTTTTTAGATGGTTTTTTTTATTACTTTAGTTATCCAAGTTTTGGGAGTTTTAAAATTATAGTCCTTTACATTAAGTTTGCGTTGTGAATTTTTTTAAAGTTTTTGAAAAAAGTGATAGATACGGTTTATATTGTTATAAACTATACACAGCTCCAGTATTCATGCTAAAATGTTGTTCTTCAAGTAAATTTAAGTTACCGTTGTAAAAAACATTCTTTTTTTTTATTGTTGCCTTACCCTGCATATTTTCTTTTTAGTCAGCACTTATATCAAAAAAATTTCAAAAGAAACATCCGTTTTTAGAATACCTTTTTTAACCAATTAAAAGAAAAAACCGTTGATTATTAGAACGGTTTTTTGTAGAAATTCTGAACTTGTGAGGATGAACGCAAGGATGAACAATTTCAAATTCTTTAAAGTATTTTTCTGTTATAGGCATTGTTGCCATTTTAATTTAAAATTTATTCATTTTTTAGATCATTTTATTTATTTATATTATTATATTATATTATTCATGTTATTTATTGCTATATTATATGAATAAAATTGTAAATATAAAAAGAACGCACAGATTTGCAGCTCATTTAAAAAGCACAACGAGAATTAAAATTAAATTAAATAAGAAAATATATATATAAAAGTAAACAACAATTAAAACTTATTATAAACATAAATTTTAGCCTGCATATGTTATGCAAGATAAGAGAAGTATTTAAAAAATTTATGTTTTGTTTTTATTATTTAGAAAAAATTGAAATATCTAAAAAAATATTTTAGTAGTTCAAATACGTTAGATATGTTTTTTTTAAAAACTAAATTCGAAATGATTTAAATATTTAAGCGAACACAAGAAATACACTAATAAATCAAATATGCGAATACAGGAAATATACAAATAAATCAAATTTTACGCAGGGTTTAAAAATAGTCTTGATGCAAAATGGAAAATAAATATCAAGTATAAATATAAAACAAATATAAATATCTAGTTTTCTCATTCGCTGTGTTTATTTCTCATTTACTCTGTTTATTTACATCTTTATACAAATTCAAATATATAAAAAATTATTAAAAAAAAAGTTTAATTGCTTTAAAATATAATATTTTCATCTTTTGAAATTCATTTCGATTTGAATGACGCAAAATGATTATTTAAATTCGGTTTCATTATTCCTTGTTCAACTGGTTCATTGCTTCGTGGTTGCACTATGTATTTTTATAATTACAATTTATTTACAATAATTTTTACAAGTATTTACATCTTATTTACAAGTTAATAAAAATGTTTTGACTGAAGGATTTGATTTTTTTAAAAGGCCAACATATTTTCATTTAAGCTGTGGTCACACTCAATAACGCAAAGTGGTTGTTAAGCTAGTTTTTTAAAAAGTCTCTTTTTTTGACAACTAAGTATGCAGTACCTTTCGTTTTCTTTGCATTTTTGAAATTTATTATACCCTATTGGAAGTGTTTCTGTAGAAGGTATGTTTTCTAAACAGCTGGTTAATGCAGAGCTGCAATTTTTCTTACACGGAGCATCGCAAAATACTTCTGCATAAAGCACAGAAAAGATGATAACTGCTGTAATAATTTTCCTTAAAGAAAAAATAACAGTCAATAAAACTATATAAGATGCAAAAAAAATTGTTTAATTAGGAATCTAAATTAAAAAAAAGCAATATCGTGTAGTTATGTTTTATAAGAATTAAAGTCATTGGAGAAGCAAAGTAAAATGAAGTTAGACTTACATCTTTCAGCTTTTTTTGGTGAGTTACTTCCTAAGTGAAAACATTGAATGAAAACATGTTACCTTAGACGATTAAATACCGGTTACTAGTGTTTGCTAAAGGTACAGAGATGACGAGTGAAGCTGTCTATGAGTGCGCGTCGGTAATGTTTGAAAATTTCATTTGAATAAACAAAAACTATTTACCCTCCGGAAAAATCATACGCAAACTGTCAAAAAAAAAACTAAATACAATTCAAGGAAATATTTTCAGACTTCATTGCCACTCTGATTGGATTATGCTTGTCAAAATAAATAAATAAAATCTAACTGGAACTATTTTAAGTCGTTATCAATACTTTTTATTCAAAACAATATGCATTGCTTGTCATATTTATTATTATATATATATATATATATATATATATATATATATATATATATATATATATATATATATATATATATATATATATATATATATATATATATATATATATATATATATATATATATCGATAATGTACAACTAGTAAATTTTATAAGGCGCTTATAACTTTTCTGGTTTATTTTACTAACTTTCATATAAAAAATAAAAGTAAAATATCGCGTGATTATGATTCTGAGTCTATATATATATATATATATATATATATATATATATATATATATATATATATATATATATATATATATATATATATATATATATATATATATATATATATATATATATATATATATATATATATATATATATATATGAGATAAATTCGTTAAGAATTGAGAAAAAAACATGGTAATCACAAGGTTTATCACATGACACGTTTTGTTTACGTTTATCACTAAAGCTAATGCCGTTTTACTGTTTAAAAACATGTTTACGCGGATTCAAATACATTAAAATAGTTTCTGTCTTATTTGCATATTTTTTGAATACAGATTACTTGTATATTAATGATATTTACAAGACATGAAATGATTTATGGAAAACATTAAAGACAAAGTTAAAACTCAAGAATTTAGGAAACAAAAGTTGCTTAAAACTGCAAAGTCAGAATTAGGTATAAAGAAAATCGAAAATTAAAAATTTCTCCATAGGTCTGTAAAATGTTTTGATATTTCATTCTTACCTACATTCTTACTTACATTATAATTATTATTTCAATAACCAATAGTTGCGATATTCATTATTGTGAAAATAGTTATATCAAAAACAAATAAATAAGAAAAATATTTGTTATAAATTATTTAAAATATTAAAATAAATTTAAAAATGAATTTATGTTTTGATTACTTTTACTGATCAGCTAGTTACCTATCCTGCTCATTTGTATAACGTAAAAAATCATTTAAAAAGAATCATTTTTCAAGCATTATTTTATAATTATAAATTATAAATATAGTAATAGACCCAATAATAAGAGAGAGAGGGGAGGGGGAGGGGGAGGGGTTGATTTTTGTCAAATAACGTTACTTAGTCAAAAAACCTATTAATGAATTCTTTTAAAATTTAACATCTTATTTCTAAAGAAAAAACTGTACACTTCGTGCAAAAAATTAATAATGTTAACCGAATAAGTTATTAAAACGTCGCCATTTAAAATTAACGGATAAGTTTGTTCTCACATTTTTACTATTAATTCATCAACAAGTTTCGCAGTTCCAAAAAAATAAAGCATAAATTAAATAACTAAAATAACATAAATTAAGTAAATAATTATTTTTATAAAGTTTACTTGTACTTTGCATTACATACAGTCAACTTATTTTCGAAATTTGAGCTGTTAAAAAATATTTAGCTGAAATTTAAACATAACTTTATTATAATTTATCCGTTACCCATTTTACCCGTTATTAAGAGTTTGCACTTATTCTTTTTTTTTTTTTTTCCATTTATATTTTGCCGTCTATATATCCAAGAAAATAAAATTACAAAAGAAAAATAAAATTATAAAATAAAAAGGATTTATAAAAACAGGCAAGGCGTCAAAGAAGATACGGATGATTAAACTCACCGCAATCTTTTTATAGTGGCCCTATGTGGGCTTTGCTAGTTAAAAATAAAGTGGTTAAAAATACAACTCCCATATAGTATAAAGGATAAATGCCTTCGTAAACATGTACATTAAACTCATAAAAGTAAATAGTATGATCTATATAAATTTAGCGATCGTCATTCAAATATATTGACAATATCTCCGTTAAATAGAAAGAATAAGTGACGATTAAGACAAACAATCTAAAAATTAAAACTCTTGAAATTTTTTTTTCAAAAAACATAGCAATCTTTGTTTTGCTAAACAATCTTTGTTTTAACGTTTAATTAATCATATTGTAAATAAATTATAATTTAAATTTTTTTTGTTGAAAAAAATATCTTTCGTTATATTTTCGATCATTTTAACATTTTATAAAAGTGGTATAATGTTGTATGGTAAGACATGACATAAAACAATAGGAGATGGTTAGATCATACTATAAAACTAATTTTCTTGGAAATTATTTCCGTTTGTCCTTATAATGCACTACAGTTGCAGCATTTATTTTTTTATATTTAGCTAAGAAGCTTTCAGTTTAAGTGGCAAACGGCAACTATAGTGATAATTACCTTCTTTTATATATAATTTACATAATACTCCCGTTTCCGCCTAATATTTTTTTAAAAACTTTTGGAACGAGACAAGGTAAAGCAACACGAAAAAAAGGTCTTCAAGGGAAAAACTATGAAACAAGACTAATCTACTTTAAATTAACGACTCTTGAAAAAAGACGCGAACGTAATGACCTAATTCAATTTTACAAAATAGTAAAAAAAAAAAATAATAATAATTTTAGGTTGGAATACCCACCT